GGATCTCGCAGGCCGCGTGGTTCCGGTCACGTAGCTTGGTTACATTCAGACAGACAGGCCAGAAGTCACAAGTGGCCACACCTGGTTCCCTGGATAGCTGGAATGTGAGGCGGGTTCCGCTAAGATTAGCAGTTAATTGGGTGAGGGGCAGGTTTTGTCAATAGAACATAACTATGGGTGTGAGGTTCTCTGCAGACTCCCTAGAGTGATGGTTCCTGTAATGATTGTTAGTGGGGAAATGGCTCCTGACATTCTGTCATAGCATTTTCTTTATAAAATGTCTCTAAAATAGCGTTATTTTATACATTGGGTGTATAAGGTTACATGTATATTTCTGTACCACATGAATGCCTGATGTTCTCAGAGACCAGAAGAGAGTACCAGATCCCTTGGAGGTCATGTTAGCAATGGTTTTGAATTCACCAGACAGGGACTTAGTGTTCTATGGGTCTAAAGACACTAGTGCCGCCAACAGACCTCTATGGGTTTGGATCCATGACAAGGTCCGTCGGGTGAGAGGCCAGGGGTTCTACCTGTATGGCATCAAACTTAAGCCAATCTGCTGTTTCTCCAAAGCCTCCTCCATCTCCTTTAGGTTCACCAGAAGGTTTATGCCAATACAAATCTGTGTTTGTTTTGTGTACCGATGGCCCTAAGCTAGCCAGCATAGATGGCGTTGAGATGCGCACTTTTCATGTAGTGTGATAATGAAAGCTCTCTTTTTTCATTTATTTATTTTTATTTTATTGTTGTTTTGCCCCCGTATGTATGTATGTGTGACTGTGTTGGATCCTGGAGTTACATACAGTTGTGAGCTGCCATGTGCGTGCTGAGAATTGAACCCAGGTCCTCTGGAAGGTCAGTCAGTGCTCTTAACCACTGAGCCATCTCCCCAGTGAAAATTCCTTTTCCGTCACCAGCTGCTTTGCCTTCCAGTGATCTCCCTCGAAGAGCTGCAGAAAGTTGGCCCGAGTGCCAGCGGTGTCCTTCACTCTCCAGAAATGCAGCTTATCACAGATACACTTCAAATCCTGGAGATCCATGCAGAGATCTTGAATCCAAAGACAGCAGCATTTCTCATCCATGGTAGACTGAGCAGGCTGAATTATGTAAAACCCAAAGTGAGCAGATCAATACGTTCCTTAGCAAAGTAATTAAGCCACGAGATCATACTGGCAAGTTTTTGCAAAATCAGATCAAACGTACGTCTCAGAATAATCAGGTCTGAATTGTCTCCCATGTGGCACGGAGGTGGCATTGAGATGCATGGTGCCCGCAGCTCTCAGACAGCAGTGGCCCTAGTGAGCCATCACACGGTGCTGCAGATGTTTCTCTTCAGCTGTCTTCTGGAAGTCAAAATTGTTCCGGTTTAACTTCATCTCCTGTATTGGTTTATCTGTGATAGACAAACCCAATGTCTTGCTCTGCCTCTGCAAGCCACAGCCACAGCTGATGCCACATCTGGAACTTGTACCTGATACTAAACAAGAAACACATCTCGAGGCTGGCAGTGACGGGCCGCCAGTGGAGAATGGTAGCTTTCTGGGGCCAGGGTCGCCTGCCACAGAGCCAGCCACTGACAATTCTGTTTCTTAAACAGACAAGTTGACTTCCTCAAAACCATACTCCTTGTTCTTCAACCTCCCAGTCTTGAATTACAGGACCTACTCCTACTTCTTATTAATCCTCTGCAAAGGGAGCATGGACACTGAGCTGGCTATATCACTGCTCAGAATAAAATTAAATATCTGCTAGAGAGGAAAAATAGAAAAACAGATACTGTCTTAGAAGCTAAAATGTCTGCTGTCTGTCATCTTAGGCTATACCATGTAGTTTAGTCTTTGTACACTTTAATCCAAGGCATTGAAAACCTACCTCTTTGAGGATATGCCAGGGAGAATTTCAAAAACTATCAGAGGAACCAGGCTGGTAGCTAGGCTAACCTGCTTGCTGCTATTCATTTCTTTGTGTAATTACATCCAATTGAACCTTGATTAGACTTAATAGCTTGCTTCTAAGAATGTGGTGAAAGTCATGGAAAATCATGGCTAAAATGAGGTCACCAAAGATCACGATTTCCTTTTGCTGCTAGTCACTTTCTAGTTCTTAGACTTAGGTAAAATTAATTTCAGATTGGGTTCATTTGGCAAAGAACAGAGGGCAGCCTTTGCTTAATAATATGCAAGGAACTGAAGCAGCCCAGTCAAGCGTTTTTTTTAAGCCCTTGAATCATGCTAACAGCAATATGAAATTGGAAGTAGAAGTTTGAAAAATTAAGCCTCATCATGTGTATAGCCCAACCAATACAAGAAGGCATGCAAGTAGTGCCTGAAAGAGTTACAGAAACAGAGGGCCTAAACTGACCCAGATAAATTGTGAAATAACGAATGTGATCTGTTTTCAGTTGTTAGATTTCAGGGATAATTTGTTAAGCACTAAAAATAACGTTCCTGCAGTAAATGATGGACATGCTGAAAAAATCACGTAAACTTTCTGCAATTTGAACTGACAAGCTATAATTTAGGTATTTTCTCTTCTACACTCCCTTCCTCCAACTCTAGAGGAAGAGTTTTCTAATATTCAGGTTAAAGCAGTCTAAAAATAAGACTGAATCTTTCCCAGGTGAATGAGCTCCCCATCTCTGGAGGCATTAATGCAGAAACCGTGTAAACCTCTGTTAGATAGTTTTTGTGGTAAAGCTTCAGACATCAAATGACCACATGAACTAGATCAGTGCTTGTCACTCATATGAAATAACATTTATATAGTACACACTAGAAATACATAACAAGACCATTATGAACCCAAATGAACAGTTTATGCAGGTTCTACCCAACCATTCTCAGGAGACTGAGAAGCTATAATTCATCTGTGGCACAACAATGAGCCTTTCCCTGCTGGTTAGAATGCCCAACATGAAATGGCTTAAGGTGTTTCAAACCTAGGTTCCAGGAAGCAATAGTTTTGGTAATATGATTGTCAGAGCAGAAATGTTAGCATGATCTAACACTGGTAAAATACAAACTCTCAACTCCGTTCTATACATATTGCATCAGAAACTAAAAGTCTAGAAACAGTTGTTTCACCAAACAAAATTGAATCTAAACATTCACATATGTATTTTCTGGTTAAAATGCAGGGAAAATAATCTTGTATCTCTAGAGCTCAGCTCCATAATCTATAAAAAGTAACTGATAAGAGTTCTGGGTGTAATGAGATATTGGCATAGTCTTTGTGTATATAACACATAGTAGGCATTCAATTACTGTTAGTTCTATTCTTACCAAGAAAAGTGAACCGAATTTATAATAAAGGAATTACAGCTTGCAAGTTGCATAAAATTATTGAGTAAATGTGATAATTCAATTTTATAAAGATTATCATTTTCAATGTATGATACAGTTTATTATTTTAGTCTGTTTTTATACTTGTTAGAATAAATGAATGACTTAAACAGTTTCTAATTGGGAATAATGGCTATACATTGCCAACTCTTGATTATATGCTTGGGTATCTATTTTGTGGATAATTGTCAGCAGATTAAAATCTCCATATGGTTTCTCTCTGTCACATGTGTCTGTGCTGCCTTCCTCTGCTATCAATTAATATTTTAGTGCGAATGAAAATTCATTTTCATATTGTCCCAAAGGGAAAAAAGATGCCAATAATTCAGGTCCTACATTCTAGAAAACACTAGAAATAGGACCCAGATTATCTAGTGGTGTATCCCTTTTCATGAAGGCAGGGCTTATAAAGATAATCCTGTTTAAACACATTATTTAAGAAAAAGGTGACTCACATGCACGCTTAATGGGAGGTGCAATTTACAAAGGGATTTAATCTTTGTATACTGAGGATTACAGAACGGGACAGATCAGTTTGACCCATTTTTAACAAGTTATTCTATAATATCAAGATGTTATATAATATCTACTAAATTCAAGACATTCAAAAATGTTGAAATGCAATCATCAGTAAGATGCTGGCCTAGTATACATTGATTCTGTTGTCACGTGGCAAGAATAAGCAAAACATAATAAAGGCATCAGCAGAATTAGTCTTACATCTCGGAGACCCTGAACTTCTGAATTTCTGGGTAAGTTGGCAGACTAGCGGCTGCCTTGATATGAGCTGGGAAAGAACAGTTAGACCAAAAAAAAATTATTTCCCCAAAGAGAAATAGAGAAAGAGCTTCAGAACTCCATGGTGTGTGTGTGGGGGGGGGATGTGAAGGAGGATGGCAAATGAGTAGGATACAAGATGAATGATGCACAGAAGTAAACTCAACACAGGCTTAACTGAACAGTTCTCTAATGTAGAGAAGGAAGCCAGAAGCCACTTCTAAGAGATAAGCTATAAAAATGTTGGGCAGTCCCACCATCAGGATAAGCTCACAACCCATCAGCCCTTATTCAGCTTTATTTAGGTTTTGATGAAACAGTGATTCCTTCAGAGGACAGGGCACCATAGGTGAGTTGCACCACTTGTCACATTATATGACTTAGAGGGCAGCAGCTGGGCACTGTCTTGAGAGAGAACCTATTGTTAAAAACTGCAATACCATGGCCGGTGGTGGCACATGCCTTTAATCCCAGCACTCAAGAGGCAGAGGCAGGCAGATCTCTATGACTTCAAGACCAACCTGGTCTACACAGAGAGAGTTCAAAGCTACAGAGAAATCTTGTCTCAAAAAAACAAAAACAAAAACAAAACAAAACAAACAAAAAACAATCAACCAAACAAACAAACAATACAAAAAAAAAAAAAAAACCTTATCACTGGGCGTTGATGGTACAGAGCACGCCTTTAATCCCAGCACTTGGGAGGCAAAGGTAAGCAGATATCTGTGTGTTTGAGACCAGCCTGGACTGCAGAATTAGCTCCAGGCTCTGTAGTTACTGAGAAACTTTGTCTCAAAAAACAAAACCAAAAAACCCAAACAAACAAACAAAAACAGAACTAAACAAAACAAAACAAAATACCCCAAACAACAGCAACAACAACAACAACAAAAAAACAAAAAACAAAAACCCTGTAGTACCTCAGAGGTCTGAAATCAGGAAAGATCTGCAGCTGAAGAAGGCTCATCTTGGTGTGCCACAACCCTTGGAAAAGCAAAGGCCCAGAGAGGAAACCTCAGTTTGGCATGCCACACTCTTCAGGTGGGGAAAATCTCCAAGAGGTAGCTGTGCATAGAAAGAACAACTAATGTAGACTAGCCAAATGTAGGTGACAGGTTTGATTCA